CCCCACTCCCTCCCACTGAGTGCACAAATTTTATGCACTGAGCCTCTAGTACCAGTGATGGCGAACCTTTTGAGCTCGGCGTGTCAGCATTTTGAAAAAACCTAACTGAACTCTGGTGTCGTATCACATATAGAAATGTTTTGATATTTGCAACCATAGTAAAACAAAGATTTATATTTTTGATATTTATTTTATATATTTAAATGCCATTTAACAAAGAAAAATCAACCAAAAAATGAGTTCGTGTTTCACCTCTGACACGTGTGTCATAGGTTCGCCATCACTGCTCTAGTACAGTGGTTCTCAACCTTCCTAATGCTGCGACCCTTTAATACAGTTCCTCATGTTGTGGTGACCCCCAACCATAAAATTATTTCCGTTGCTACTTCATAACTGTAATTTTGCTACTGTTATGAATCATAATGTAAATAACTGATATGCAGGATATATTTTCATTGCTACAAACTGAAAATAATTAAAGCATAGTGATTAATCACAAAAACATTATGTAATTATATATGTGTTTTCTAATGGTCTTAGGTGACCCCTGTGAAAGGGTCGTTCGACCCCCAAGGGGTCGGGACCCACAGGTTGAGAACCGCTGCTCTAGTATATAATAAAAGATATACTATCTCATTTATATGCCAATTAACTTCCTTTACTTAATGTTCATTTGTAAAAGTGGCAAATTTAAAATATATACCATTGGCCCTAGCTGGTTTTGCTCAGTGGATAGAGCCTTTGCCTGTGGACTCAAGGGTCCCAGGTTTGATTCTGGTCAAAGGTACATGCCCCATTTGTGGGCTCGATCCCCAGTTGGAGGAGTGCAGGAGGCAGTCAATCAATTATTCTCTCTCATCATTGATGTTTCTAACTCTCCCTTTCCTTCCTCTCTGAAATCAATAAAATGATTTTAAATAAATAAATAAATAAATAAATAAATAAATAAATGTATACCATTGAACTGGTACATTTTCTTAGCAAATCAACAATCATTAATTCATGCAATATTCCCTGGGTAAACACTAGGATCTCTTAAAGATAAGAATTTAAAGTATATCTTCTAATATTTTAGTGCAATAATGATTAACATTTCAATATTTTCTTCTTTTTGGAGAAGGAATGCTTCTTCTCTCACAAATTAAAGTAAAATATACAAAAATCATGGTACCTATTTCTTCAAATACTTCCCCTTCTTTCCTTCATTCTACCTTTTTTCTTCCTTTTTAGTGAATTTCATCTATCCTCATTGGAATCAAACAGCTTTCTCATAGAGAGGAGTGAGATTCATAGCCAGGTATCTTAGCCTGTTTGCTATGAATTTGGGTTTGTACTTAAATGCAGCCTATCTAAATACTATGTGTGAACATATTTCTAAACTGGGAAAATCAAGTGAGTGATGTATCTTTAAAAGTAGATATTTTTAAAAGAAATTTACTTCAAGCATTATTCAAGTTTTTCAGATAAATTTTAGTCAATTTCTGTGACCAAAAAATAAAATCTTTCACCCAGAAAGACGAGAGATGAAGTTATTGTTCTGCTTCAACTAAATAAGGCTTTGGAATTTCACCTCACCCATTAATGGAAAAGGTTTGTTTGTTTGTATAGTATTTTGCTTTTAGATTTCTGATAAAGGAATGAGATAATAGAGATATTGGAAAAGAAATAAGGGGAAGAAAGGAGAAATTGAATATGAGGACACCAGTCTGAGAATATTATATCCATTTTCACCATTACAAGCAATGACATAGTAGTTATAAAGCACAAGGTATTTTTTACTATAATTAAGTTGCTCTAGTCTCATTTCCCCCCAACACTCATACACACCAGCACAAATTCTTTAGCTATATTACTAAAATGGGAGCTGAGTCTCTAACTACTGTGTATATTCAAGGATAACCCCTCACCTAAGATCAGCCAACCATTACATTCCATCTTTCGGGCCAAAATGATTATCCAGGGATGGATGTTTTATAAATGACAGACCATTCAGAGCCCTTTGCTGTTTGTTTTTTATCAATCAAATAGTTCTTTTATTTAATCTTTTATGGCTGAGTATTGCTACTTGGAGTTTCCACCCATGGAAAATATATCTGCAACAGGTAACAATAGACCTAACATAGTCAAGCAGAAATGGGAGGCAGAAAGTTGACTTCTGTAGGCTTCCACCCTCTTTATAACAGTTACCTCTAAAATCAAATATTCTGAAGCTAGGGTTTTGTGGATCAATATATTCTACATGTATTTTTGCTTTAGCTAATTATCATTCAGTTCCTATAATTATTTATAATAAAGTGGAAACATGAATGTCACTTTTTAATATAAATTTTATTAAAGTACAGAGTACATTAGAGAAAAGTGCACAACAACATATAATTTAATGAACTTTTACAAAATGAACACAATAGATTAAATCAATCACTTTGGGTGCAGAGTAATTTGAGTAGGTAGATTACTGTATGTATCCTTCTCCTCCAAAGAAAGTAAATGAAATTCATTCTTATATTTGAAGTATGCTGGCAACAACCTTACCTGAGTCCACTCATTAGTTTGTGGATCATAGGATTCCATGGTGTTGAGGTATGTCTGCCCATCATAGCCACCAACAGCGTATAATCTGTCACCGAGGAGACAAACTCCAACAGCATCTCTGGGCATACTCAAAGGAGCCACGGTGGTCCATGTGTCTGTTTTGGGATCATATCTAAAATGTAAAGATAATAGGACATATTCTAACATATTCAACTTTTACTATATGGATGATGCCCACACAAAAGAAAGCCATGAAAAACAAAATTGTGATTTTATTTTTCCTAAAAGCTAAATTTTTTGAGCAGGTGTTCAAGAGCTAATATCCATAATGTCTGGCTCTCTAAACTTTAAGGTATTTAAAACATATATCTATACTCTTATTTATATAGCTGCACAGTCATCTAACAAAATGAGTATGAAAAAAGTTTAATTTTTGAGGAAGTCAGATATGCAAATAACTATTTACCACAGCATAAGTAAAGTGTTATGGTAAAGAAACAGAAGTAATTGTTAAAAATCTGAGAGAAGTATGCAATACTTCACTATTAAAGTATCCATTAAATCAGGCATGAAAGTCTAGCCTAAGTTTGCTATATATAAAAAGTTGTGTAAAAGTACTGACATGTTAATAAAAATGCATAAACAGCTTCCAGGAAAGTGGGTGTGCAGTATGGCTAAGCTTAAGAATGTATGAAAGAGTGCCCAAAAAGGTGCGTGTTTTTTGTTGTTTTTTTAAAAAAATATGTTTTTATTGATTTGAGAGAGGGGGTAAGGGAGTTAAAGAAAGAGAGGGAGAGACAGCAATGTGAAAGAAACATGATCAGCTGCCCCCTGCACAGCCCTTACTAGGGATCCAGCCCACAACCTGGGCATGTGCCCTGACCAAGAATCTAACCAGTGACCTTTGGGTGCACAAGAGGATGCTCAATCAACTGAGCCACACCAACCAGAGCAAGGTGTTTTGTGATCAACTTATGGATGTTTGGCTCCCAGAGTTTGACTCCCAGCAGGTGTTTTGTGTTTTCTCAATAGGAAAATAGAGAGCCATTGAAACTTGGGAAAATAATTACAGCATGAACAAGAACTATATTTTAGTGACATAACTCAGGATTTTCCATAAGAGAGACATTGGTAAATCAAAAGAATGAAATAGAAAATATAAATTATTATTGCTTAATTTAAACCAAAATTAATCTAACTTTCAGAAAGTTTGATTACCATATAGTAAATATAAATATTTTATATTTTAGGGTAACAAAAATCTGAAGAATGCTTTAGTTAATGAGCTTTACTTCAGCAAAAATAAAATGAATTCTTAAAACACCTCTTTGCCTTTAATTTGCCACTATAGGTTCAAATACAGGAACAAGAAAGCTACTAAGAAGTAAAAACTCAGCAGCGTAAATATAAAGGTGTGGGGAGGCGGAAGCTGAGTGGAGGTGGGCAAATAGGGGGAAAATGGTGACATCTGTAATAGTATCTGTAAGGACAGCAAATAGGCCTTTCTTTTTCATTGCTGTGGCCTTGACAACTTATGAGAAGCACCTGGTAATTAAACTCCAAGATCGTTGACTCCTCTGTTAAAACTAAAGGATAAAATAAGCTACTCTCAAGGCTACATTCTTCCATCCAACTCCTCCCTGCTGTTTTAAGAGCTTCAGAATAATTTGCTCCTCCTCATCTTCTCCTTCCTTTCCCTCTCCCCTTCAAACAGATTTCCCTTTTGAACTCTTTATAACTTTTGGTCTAAGCTTGTTTTACAGGTTTGGAAAAATACTGATAAGGCACCTCCTTAGAATATCTGCTGGACTGTCTCCTGGAAAATAAACTGTAACTTTCCAAGACAACCCTTCTGGTGTCTGCTCAATTTCAACACCCTTCCCCTCCCTTCCTTGTTGCGTAGCAACTACTGAACAATGCAAACTCCCTTTCTTCTCTGCCCTGTATTGACTAGCAATATTTGGCTCTTTACTCCCTTGGAAAAGAAAATAAACTTCCTCTCTGCATCTTTTCTCTTAATTGTGAATTCTTTCACAGCCCATGTCACTGAGCAAGCCTTAACAGTGTCAGCAATAAGATAAGGGGTGGGGACTGAATGAAATTTTTTGTTGTTGTTTTTTGTTTACAAACACAGCAAATATACTCTGTCTTTCTGCTTCAAAAATGTTTTTCACTAATTGAAACTTTCAACCCACAAACTCTTAAAACAAAGAAACAAACACAAAATAAACAAGCCAAAAAAACTCACCTATAGTTTATTAGAGATAAAGAAGGTTGTTATAACAAATGATTGGAAGGACCCCAAGGATCTGTAATTTATATTTTATAGAGAATATTCATGTTACTCAAGATATTACATGCAATTACACTCCTTGGTTGAAGAAGTTGGGACAGCCTATAAAATGAGAGACTGGTTGAATGCTTGCAAAACCAGGACCACCTTAAAGCACAGGCTATCTAGCAAATAAAAATGCAATTTTACATACAGCAATTAATAAATGCAACCATCACAAAGAGACACAGACATATATAGACACACAAACACAGACACAATCTATGCCATCATAATCTTCTTTACAATATTTAAATTTATAACATGGATATTTTGACATTTGTAAATATATTTTTAATGAGGACCAAAAATAAGTAAGTAGAGAAGAAAAGACACCACAAGGAGTTAAATAGTACAATCTATAAAGTAGAATATGCACAGGATAACTGAGTTTTTCAATTAAAAAAACAACAGTAATAATAAATAAATAAGAAGTAACTGTGAATAAATTAAATGTGACTTAAAAACATAACAAAATAAGTGGACCTTATTTGGATCTCAATTTAAACAGACCAACTATTAAAAGATGTTTGAGACATTTCAGAAATTTTAATTTGGGGCATCAGAGTTTAATAAAGACATTATTGAAGTTTCTATTAGTTGTGATAATGACATTGTGATTATGTTCAAATATAATGTTATGATTATTTTATTCGCTTGTTTCTGGGGCAAAATCAGAAATATATTCAGCAAAAACGACATCTTAAAGAATTTATTTAAAATAACGCTAATGAAAAAGGAAAGGACAGTGAAGGTGAATGAATGAAACATAAATGACAGATTGGTGGTGGTTGTTAAAACTGGGTAATGAGTATAGGGGAATATATTGTTTTGTTTACTTTTTGTTTGTTAGGAAATTATTGTTGTAGATATAACTTTAAAAGGAAGAATGTATAGTATACTTTAATTTCAGTGAACAGTGAACATTCTTTTATTTTATTCATTCTTCAATAGAATCCAATCTGGCTTTTGTCACAATCAATTCACTTAAACTGCTTTTTCTGAAGTCATATTTTAGTCCTCAATTAATTTTTATTCAGCACTATAGAATTCTTTCCAGCAGCTTGTCTACAAAGCAGACTTAATTTATCACTTTGCAAAAAAAGCAGAACTGAGAAAACAGCTAACAGTAATACACTAAGCAATAATAAATGAATTTCTGAAAGCTTACAAATCTTCAAGTGAAATTCAAATATCAAAACAATTCTCAAATACTCATATTCCAGGATAAAGTAAGAACACACTAGGGTGTTCAATACACTTTAAAGATAATATCCTACGTTTAGAAATAGATATCATTTCTTTTATATTTTACAAACATTCCTGAAGAGAATTTTAAAAATCTAGTGCATTCTTTTATAAAATCTAAATCTTTGAATTAGTTGTACCTCTCATTAGTGGTAGGTAATATACTTTACATGTGTAATACAATCTTTTATAATTAATAAATGGCAATGCTGATTATATTTAAATTTATATATTGTTAGAAAAAACAAACCAAAACAAAACAAAAACCAAGTACAACCTTCTCATCTCCCTAACAAATGCTCTTTACCTGATATTTAAAAAGTAATCCCATAAATTCAAAATTACCGTATTTGCCGGCGTATAAGACGACTGGGCGTATAAGACGACCCCCTAACATTTCCACTCAAAATACAGAGTTTGTTATATACTCGCCGTATAAGACTACCCCCTCTTCCGCACACCTTCCACACACCAAATAAAAGGTAAAACAATATCAGATTTGATTTTAACATTTTAC